CGTAGGGAACCTCTTTCTGGCACACATCACCGTGAAGAATCCTTGGCCAAAGACACAGCTAAGGGGCCGAGCAAGGTGAGTCTCCAGGCTCCTTCCTCAGAGAAGCCCTCCCCGACTCTCAGGCATCCAGAGGCCTCTGTATATTTCCTTTATCACTGCATGTAATTATAGAATTATGTGTCTGACCATTTGTTTAGTATCTATCTCTTCCATCAGACAGTTAGCTTCAGGGACATGTCTGCCTTTTCACCAGTGACTCCAGAGCCTTGCACAGTACCTGATGCACAGCAGGTACTCAAGTCAGTTTGTCTCTGTTAATTGAATGATTGGATGTAACTTTGCTTCCTGCACCCAGTCTGCTTTGGGAAAGGGCTGGGGACTTGAAGGCCATCATTCTCTTGGGATAGGCTGACCCCTCCTGTTCCTCCCTCCCTGCAGGCTGCCTGCTGCACTCCAGTGGATGCAATCTCCGGCCGTTGCTAACTGATGTTCCAGTCTGAGGCCAATCAGAAACTTTGGGGTTTTGCATGGTCAACATGAGTGGAAAATCAAGTGGCTATTTATTACTTTTTTATGGTTCTCTGGTGGGAGCAGTGGCTGCTATGGACAGTGAGATTGACACCATTCTCCCAACCCGTTGCTGAGAATTGGACTGCATACCTTGGATTCCTGCAGACAGCACAGCGGAATAAGCTGCCCCTCACCATGGCCACAGGCATCCTTCTTGGAGATGTCAGGGAAATGTTGGATATGTTGCAGAATTAGGGAGTGGAACCCTCTCCCTCTCCTCAGCCCTCAACCTCTCCGTAGGAATAATGTGTGTGTTAGGGGGCAGATTAAGAGACCCCTGAGGCCGGGCACGGTGGCTCATGCCTGTAATCCCAGCACTTTGGGTGGCTGAGGCGGGAGGATTACTTGAGGTCAGGAGTTGGAGACCAGCCTGGCTAACACGGTGAAACCCCGTCTCTACTAAAAACATAAAAATTAGCTTGGTGGTGGTGCACGCCTGTAGTCCTAGCTACTCGGGTGGCTGAGGCAGAAGAATGGCTTGAACCCGGAAGGTGGAGGTTGCAGTGAGCCGAGATTGTGGCCCTGCACTCCAGCCTGGGTGACAGAGCGAGACACCATCTCAAACAAAACAAAACACAAAAAGTAACCAGACGTAGTGGCAGGAGTCTGTAATCCTAGCTACTAGGAAGGCTGAGACAGGAGAATCCTTTGAACCCGGGAGGCGGAGCTTGCAATGAGCTGAGATCCGGCCACTGCACTCCAGCCTGGGCGACAGAGCGAGACTCCGTCTCAAAAAAAAAAAAAAAAAAAAAAAAAGACACCCCTGGAATTGGTTTTCATTTCCTCAAACCCACCCCCACCCTCAGGCTTTTTGGCCCCTCAGCCATTTTTGTCACATTCCCTTTGGGCACAGGAGATTCTAGAAAGGTGGAGAAGGTGGGCTCAAGGGGAAGAGGGTAGAGGCAAAAACCGTAAGGGGAAATGCAGGAGGACAGGACGTCCCAGATAGGGACAACCCTTTGCACTGCAGAGATTCCACTCCTCGTCTTTCCATTCCCTCTGAGATGCTGACTCTGACCACAGTTCTTGGACTTTAAGCCACTCCACAGCATCCCCTTCACTTCTAGTGTCCTTCCAATGTGAATCTCACTCCTCCCAAATATACCGGATTCCTACAGGGGCTGCTTATTTTGTCTTTGTGCAACGATTTTTTTTTTTTTTTTTTTTTTTTGAGTCTCACTCTGCCGCCAAGGCTGGAGTGCAGTAGTGGCGCGATCTCGGCTCACTGCAACCTCCGCCTCCCGGGTTCAAGCGATTCTCCTTCCTCGGCCTCCCGAGTAGCTGGGACTACAAGCGCGCACCACCACGACCTGCTAATTTTTTGTATTTTTAGTAGAGATGGGGTTTCACCATGTTGGCCAGGATGGTCTCGATCTCCTCACCTCGTGAGCCGCCCGCCACGGCCTCCCAAAGTGCTGGGATTACACGCGTGAACCACCGCGCCCAGCTAGGATTTAAAAAATATATATACTGTATTAGGATTTTTATAAGTCTGTAATAAATGCTATTGAAAACTGTTCACCTCTTACTTCTGCCTTCTCCTCTGTCTGTTCCTCAAACTGGCTTTTGGCTTGAGAGAAGGGGAGGAGCGACTCTGGGGCTGGAAAAGTCCAGGAGACAAGGTGGAGAGTCTGTTAATCTGTACATCCCTAGACCTGGGGCGATGCTGGGGACAGTCCTTTTCTCAAGCCAGTTAGTGGACATCTGGGGGAGAGTCTAGGCACGGATATAGAGGACCCAAGGTTCCTTAATCTAGTTGTTTTTCCGAAAGCGTGACTGTGGAGGAAGAACTTAGGAGTTCTAGCCATTCCCACTGTATTTTGTGTTGTTTTCAATAGGTATCCGGACGCAACCCACAGATTAAAACTTTAAAGGAAAGTGAAGGCCACACCCCTATTCCGTAGAAATTTATTCTAATGAGAACTGTGTGGCGTGGTGGGGGTATAGCTCAGTGGTAGAGCATTTGACTGCAGATCAAGAGGTCCCCGGTTCAAATCCGGGTGCCCCCTTTGCGTACGTAAGTTTTAGTGTTTTGGCCTCCGGAGGTCTCCTAAAGAGTTTCTGCACAGATGGAACGGGAGGGAGTCTCGGGCCCTGCCACCATCTTTTCTTTTGCAGGCGAGTGAGGATGGGTCCTAGCCCCTGCCAGTGGCTCGGCCTGCGTGTGCATCCCAGGGTGGAATGCAGTACGAGTGAGGGCTAGGAGCTCAGGGGTGACCCTTGGAACACGGTGCGGGTGGCTCAACCTCGCAATGGCAGGGCGGAGGCGGGCGCACCCCCAGGTCAGCCTGGCCAGTGACCCCGACGGCTCTTTCATGGCGGGAGGGAGGCTGAGTTTCTAAGGGCTGGGCTGGAGAAGACAGACCGGGAGAAGCCGCGTGAGCATGTGCGAGGGAGAAAGAAGCTCCCAGACGTGGCAAGGGGGCTTCTGCAAGGCAGGAGCGTAGGACACCCCCGAAGTGAAATATTCCTAGAGACTCCTTCCACACCCCACGAATATATTTTCTTACACCGCCAGTGCGAATCTTCAGCTCAGAGCTTCAGGAAACAACCCCTGCTTCCAAGTGAGTCATTTTTCTGGGAGTTGTATTTTTTTTTTTTTTTTTTTTTTGACATTCTCTTGGTAAACGTCCTATATCCCTCCATTTCCCACCTTCCCCTTCGGGGCGGGAACTCCACGACCAGGTCCGCCCTGGCGCGCCAGGCCAATTAGCCACTTAAAAGATCACACCCTGGCCCGGCCTTGACTACAACCTGGCCAGCAGAGGGGGTATAGCTCAGTGGTAGAGCATTTGACTGCAGATCAAGAGGTCCCCGGTTCAAATCCGGGTGCCCCCTCTTTGACCTTTTTCGAGATACTAAAGTTTTTGTCCCCGGTGTTGATTTTTCCTGAGCTGTTTGCTTTTTCTCCTACTGGCAGACGAGGAGCAGTGAGGGACTGCAAGGAACTGGGGATTCAACAGCACTGGCTCTCAAAATGTGGTCCTGGGATTACCTGGGTACGCTCTGCCCTCATCCCAGACCTAGTGAATTAGAAACTTGAGGGTGGAGTCCAGAAATCTGTGTTTTCATATACGCTCGCCATTGCTTGAGTCTAGCAGTTGGAAGCTGCAGTGAGCTATGATCGCAGCACTGCACTCCAGCCTAGGCAACGTTCGAGAACCTGTCTCAAAAAACAAACAAAATAAACACACACACACACACACACACACACACACACACACACACACACACACACACACCCCTCCAGGTGATTACGATCTCAAAGTCTAGAGCCTTACATTAAAATTTAAACATTTGCTTTCAGCCTGAGCTCTTCTTGTAAGACAGACCACGAGGTACCCCAGATGGAGGAATGTGCAAAGACGCCGGGGCTGGAACTGGAATCCGTCCCGGGACCTCTCACCTTGACCTCAGGGAAGGCAGGAGGTCGGAGACAGGGGGTGGGCAGGCCCGGGAAAGAGGAAACCCACAGGACGAGAGGGTTGTGGCTCGTCACGTGGCCACTTGAGGGCAGCAAGAAGCCGCAGCTGGAGGCAGTTGCCTATCTGATCCTGTTTGAGAGTCCGCCAAGTTGGGATTTAAATTAGACTTCAAGAAGAATTTACAGACCGGCCTTGCCTTGTTCTATGGTAAGCGGACATTGGGTTTAGGGCTGGAGGAGGTAGTCTCTGGGAGTCTGGGCCCGGCGGAAGGAGTAAGAGATTAGAGAGCCTTTAGTTGTTCCCTTTCTTAGGTCTTTTTTTTTTTTTTCTTAACCTCAGTGCCACGGAATCTACCTCTTCATCCCACAGTGTACCTTCTCCTGTCCCCACCTGTATCCCTCCTCCTGGAAAGTTTCTCCAATGGCGCTCAGCGTTCACACCCTTCCTCTCTGCCGTTTTCTAGTCCCTAGGCCCCAGCCCACTAGAAGCCAGGGTGCCCCCTCACCCCGTCTCCCACTCTCCAGCGCCCCAGCTCCTTGCCGTCACAAGAACCAAGTAGGTCAGGGGAGGCAAGAGGCACCTCCGTGTCCTGACCTGATTCCTTGCCGTCTATTAAATATCCTACATTGCGGGTATTTTTATTCTGTCCTGGAAGAAAAAATAAAAAGATGATCTGTCCCCAGAGCCTGTGAGAAGGTGGTGGCAGGTGGGGTGAGCCGTTTCCTCGTCTGGGGCTGGCTCTGAAGATTGATTGGGTCTGGCCCTGAGCAGGCCTGGAGGCCCCAGAGAGGCGGGAGGCCTGGGTTACCTATTCGTGGGGAGGGGTCCAGGCCCCCTCCACTCTCATGTCTGCCAGGCTTGGGGGGCAAATCGGTGCTGGAAATGGGGGGATGGAGGGATAAGGTGGAGTCATGGGAGGGGGGTGGGATTCAGGTCCCTCTTGGGGAGAAAAGCTGGGGGTCTTTGCTGCAGGAGATTCCTGGGGGTGGCGGCGGGAGGACAAAGCATCGGAGATGCACAGAATTCCGAAGAACAGCTCAGAAAGTCGCAGAGCTTGGAGGAGCTGGGGGCGGGGGACAGGCAGGGGCCCGTGGCCCACGGAGGGGGCGCCTGTCCCTTCCAGGGGTCAGTCCCTCGGGCCTTCTCTCTGCAGCTTTCCCGGCGGAACGGAGGAGGGAAAGGGAGCCAGGAACTCAGTGAGGCGCGCGGGGCGGCTGATGCTTCTAGGGGTTCTCTCAGCCCGAGGGGCTCCCGCCCTGTCTCCTACTCTGCACCCCTTGCCTTTGGAGCGGCTGCAGGAGCTCCAGGGGAGCGCTCCGGGAGGGCTGAGGGCAGGCGCCGGGAGAGCCCCCAACGACGCAGCGCCCCCCGCCCCGCCCCCTGCCCCAGCTCCCCACCCCTCCACCGACCCAGCGGCCCCCCCCGCTCCCCGCCTGCTCCCGGAGGCCACAGCCTCCCGCTCCGCTCACTCTCTCGCCGCTCCTGCCGGCTGGCCCGGCCCCGCGCTCCGCTGTCTCCTCACCGCCCGCGCCTCCGCCAGCCCCGGGGACCGCGCGGCCGGAGCCGGAGCCAGGGCCCCCTCCCTCGTCAGGGCCGGGGCAGCGAGCAGGCCGGGGGCAGGTCCGGGCACCCACCATGCGGGGCGAGCTCTGGCTCCTGGTGCTGGTGTTCAGGGAGGCTGCCCGGGCGCTGAGCCCCCAGCCCGGAGCAGGTAGGACTGGCCGGAGCCGGCTTGGGTGGGCCGGGGGCGGGGAGGGGCGGGCAGGCAGGTGAGGGCAAGGGCAGGTGTGGACTGCCTGGCGATGTCCGCGAGGGGAGCATTGTCCGCAGGAGACCAGGAGCGCTGTGGGCTGTGGGCAGGTGGATAGGGACCCCACTTTCCCAAACACATAGGCTGTGTGAGTGACGGTGGAGACACCGATGCCCGGACCTCTCCTACACAGGGACCGTAGGAGAGGGGGCTCTGTGTGGCGATGGGCTCTTAAAGGGGACAGCTGGAGAGTCATCAGGACCCCTGATCACCCCAGGCAAGGCTGAATTCTGATGAGACGGGAGCCTGGGAGGCCCCTGCCCCAGCCATGCCTTCTTTTCCTCTTCTCTGCCACACCCCCGACCCCAAAGCTGACCCAGGCTAGGGATAGGTGGGAGCAGCCAGGGGAATGGTGGAGACACAGCGTCTCTCCCTGGGAAGGCAGCAGCCCTTCGGTCACCTTCTCTTACCTATTTGGTGTCAGTAGAGAGGCAGTGGGCCCAGGAAGAAGCAACTTGCTGCTCCTGCACACCCAGCCTCAAGGGTCCCCCTCCTCACACCTGCTCCCATTTGCCCTGGCAGCCTTTGGCTTTCAGCTACTCTGGCTCTAGATGGGGCACTGGGGTAGGGGGTGGAGGGAGGTGTCCCATTCTGCACACTCCCTTCCCCCTACCAGTTCTCCAAACTCATCTCTCCCACCTGGAAGTCCTTTCTGAGATCTACCTGGAATCCCTCATGGTATAAAAGGAAGACTCATTTTCATAGTCTCCCTTCTCTCCTATGCACCTAGACTTTCTCTGGGGTTGGGGAGATGGGTAATTTGCAGCCTGGCCCCTCAACAGAGATGATTAAGAAGGCAGAGACCTGTGCATCATTGGCATGGGTGCCCATCAGGTGGGGTGAGGGAGGGCTGTTGAGGGTGAGTGCTGTGGTTGACCTGCTGTGTCTCAGGGGTGTGCTGGCACCAGGCACAGTGGCAGTGGCAATGTTCTTCACTTTAATGGTCCCAGTATGTAGGTGAGACAGACTTGGGTCCCTGTTGAGAAGAACAGTATGTGGGGGTGGGAAGGGAAGGAGACTGACAGTGGGAGGTGTGGGCAGAGGGCAGTGGAGCTGATGTGTCGAGAGACTGCTGGTAAGAACCACCAGTTTTCAGGGAGACCACACAGAGGGTGACCAGAGACGTGGCTTCTAGTCCTGCCATCTCACTTGCTGTGTGACTTTAGGCAAGTTACTTTCCTTCTCTGGACCTATTTTTGCATTTATAAAGTGAGGCTGTTGGCAAAATCTTTGACTCTTGTGTGTGGAATAATGAAGGATCTTTTGTAATTGCCTTTCCTTTTCATATTTGTTAGGATCTTTATGGGTAACTGATACTTTTAAAAAATCAAGGTAAACAGGACAGAGTTGGATATGTGATGAATAATTTCTGGACTCCTTTCAATCTCCAACCTGGTGTGATCTTCTGAACTCTGGGTGTCACGGAGTTTATGAGGGGAGGCTCTGAACCTTTGGCTGGGTAGGGTGGACCATGGAGAGGGCCAGGGAAGGGGGAATTGGGAGGTAACAAGGATGGGCTGGGAGATAGTAGCCAGATCCGGGCCTGGCTGAAGGCTGCCCCTTCAGAGTAGGGTTGGGTAGTAGACAGATGAGGAGACCAGGAAGAGTGGGGCCGGCAGAGACTTGAATCACTTTTCTATTTAGAGGCCACCCTGTCTTCTTGGCTTTGACAGAGATTGAGCCAGGAGAAATGCACTTTTTCTGTAGCAGGAGGGATTGAGGTTAGACTTTAGGAATCTGTAAGAAGGCAGAGGCAGCAGCTGTTGCTGCTGTCCAGTGCCCTTTTCACAGGTCAGGCTGGATTTCACAGGCAGGAGGATGTATGAGGAGGAAGCAGGCGTCTGGGGAGGCCAGATATAGGAGAAGGACATTCTGGGGGAGAGTTGCTGAGGAGGGGCAGCCTGACCTGATTGATGGTGGAGTCTTTGTGACCAGTGGAAGGGCAGCCAGGAGCAGGACCTGAAGAGATGCTGGCATCCAGCCCCAAGGCTCTGGGTTCGCTGGGCTGGTGGGGGGCCTTGGGAAGTAGCTGAGATCTCCCCTCGCTCCTCATGGACAGGCTTGTTTGCCAGAGCCTTGAAACCTCATCTATCATCAGAACAGCAGCAGCAGAGAGATGACTGGACCAAAGATACAGTCAGACAGCAGGGGAGACTAGGCTGACAGACAGGAGGATGGCCTTGGGGTGCACAGCAGGGGCCAGGGGAACCGACAGTCTGGTCAGATGGAACCAGAGATGCGTATGACAGACAAAGAAGAGGCAGCGAGAGTTGGCATCCTGGCCTGGGAGTCCTGCAGGAGGCCAGGCTCAGTACCAACCACTGGTCACCCTGACAGCTTCCTGCTTTCTCTGAGGAAGGTTTCCCCATCTATGAAATGGGGGCTTGCACCAGGCATGGTGGCTCATGCTTGTCATCCTAACACTTTGGAAGGCTGAGGTGGGAGGATAGCTTTAGACCAGGAGTTTGAGACCAGCCTGGACAAAATAGTAAGACCCCATCTCTATAAATGATTTAGGCCAGGCAGGGTGGCTCAAGCCTGTAATCCCAGCACTTTGGGAGGCCGAGGCGGGCGGATCACCTGAGGTCAGGAGTTTGAGATCAGCCTGGCTAACATGGTGAAACCGCGTCTCTACTAAAAACACAAAAATTAGCCAGGCGTGGTGGTGCATACCTATAATCTCAGCTACTCAGGAAGCTGAGGCAGGAGAATAGCTTGAACCAGTGAGGCAGAGGTTGCAGTGAGCCGAGATCGCACCACTGCACTCCAGCCTGGGCAACAGAACGAGACTCCATTAAAAAAAAAAATTAAAATTAAAATTAAAAATTAGCTGGGCATGGCGGTGTGCACCTGCAGTCCTAGGTACTCAGAAGGCTGAGGCAGGAGGCTCGTTTGAGCCCAGAAACTGGAGGCTGCAGTGAGCTATGATCATGCCACATAGTGAGGGCAGCATAGCAAGGTCCCATCCTTTTTTAAAAAAAGGAGGGAAGGAGGTTGGACTAGATTGTCTCTAGGGCTCCAACAACCTGAGACTAAAATGTGAACTTACTGTGGTCCGGCAGCCCCTCCCTCATCCCACCATCTTCTTTAGCTCTCCCCAGATCCACTCCTTAACCCACTCCAGCTGCTGTCCCCTCCGATCGACAGGCTTCTTCTCATTCAGGTCTTAACCAGCTCAAGGGGACCCTCCTCAGAGAGGCCCACCTCATGGCTCTGTGTAGAGTAGTAACAACTCCAATCCTTTCCTGTGTCTGATTTTCTTCATAGCCCTTTCCAAATGATTCATTTTGTATGTATCCATGAAGAAAACTAGACTCTTCCTGGGAACAGGGCTTGTGTCCTCCCAGCACTCAGCACAGTGCCTGGGACTCAATAAAAGTGTATTGAATGAATGAGTGAGTGAGTGAGTGAGTATATCAGAAGTGGCACAGACCCCAGACTCTCCCCTCAAGGGACACACATAGAGAGCTGAACTCTTCTTGCTGGCCCTCCCTTCCCCTCCCCGCCCCTCCCCTCACCTCCCCTCCCTCTCTCTTCCCTTCTGCTACCTGGTGGTACCTCCCTGAACTTCCTTTTACTCCCTTCCTCTCCCCAGGTGAGGGTCCTCAGTGGGCCCCTTTCTGCCAGAGGAAATGGAGAGGGTATGGTTAGGCGCTTTGTAACTTGGAGGTAGGATTTCATTTTAGGGTTTGGAGACTTCCCTGGCCCCTCCGAAAGCTGGTCCTGTGACCCTAACTGGTGTGTTGCCCAAGGTCCAGCAAGTTGACACACCAACACCACGGGTGCAGTAGCGAAAGAGTTTCATCATCGTGGGGAAGCGTTTGGGGCTAGGGGTTTTGTGGGGTTTGGGGTGGGGTGGCCAAGGTGTGGGAATTGTTAATTGGTTGAAGAGTGCATGCAGAAATAAAGAAACTGCATTCTCATGTTGAATCGGTTCCTCTCTGAGGGTCTTCAAATTGGCCCTTCTGCTGGAATTCAGGATCTTTATTTATTTATTTATTTATTTATTTATTATTTTTTTTTTTGAGACGGAGTCTCGCTCTGTAGCCCAGGCTGGAGTGCAGTGGCCGGATCTCAGCTCACTGCAAGCTCCGCCTCCCGGGTCTACGCCATTCTCCTGCCTCAGCCTCCCGAGTAGCTGGGACTACAGGCGCCCGCCACCTCGCCCGGCTAGTTTTTTTGTATTTTTTAGTAGAGACGGGGTTTCACTGTGTTAGCCAGGATGGTCTCGATCTCCTGACCTCGTGATCCGCCCGTCTCGGCCTCCCAAAGTGCTGGGATTACAGGCTTGAGCCACCGCGCCCGGCCGGAATTCAGGATCTTAATCCTTGTTCGTTTGTTTGTTTTCTTTTTTGAGACAGGGTCTCGCTCTGTTGTTCAGGCTGGAGTGCAGTGGTGTGATCATAGCTCACTGCTGCCTCAACCTCCTGGGCTCAAGTGATCCTCCTGCCTCTGCTTCGTGAGTAGCTGGGACTGCAGGCATGCACCACCCCACCTGGTTAATTTTTTTAAATTAAAAAAAAAAAAAAAATTGCCGGGCGCGGTGGCTCAAGCCTGTAATCCCAGCACTTTGGGAGGCCGAGACGGGTGGATCACGAGGTCAGGAGATCGAGATCATCCTGGCTAACACGGTGAAACCCCGTCTCTACTAAAAAATACAAAAAACTAGCCAGGCGATGTGGCGGACGCCTGTAGTCCCAGCTACTCGGGAGGCTGAGGCAGGAGAATGGCGTGAACCCGGGAGGCGGAGCTTGCAATGAGCTGAGATCCGGCCACTGCACTCCAGCCTGGGCGACAGAGCGAGACTCCGTCTCAAAAAAAAAAAAAAAAAAAAAAAAAAATTTATTATAAAAGAGACAAGGTCTTGCCATGTTGCCCAGGCTGATCTCAAACTCCTGGGC